GTTCTCTCTCTCATTCTCTCTCTGTCAAATATCAAATAAATAAATAAAATCTTTAAAAAAAAAAAAAGATGACATAAAATTCCATCATGTCCCAATGTCTGTGTTTTACATCTTCATCAACATCAGATACTTTTGGGGATCACTGGGAACATGAAACTCTGGGCCATGATTTTGTGTTTAGTGGGAAAGAGTCCAGGTGACACTCTCTCAACATCCCTGGGCCCTGAGATAAGAACAAACAATACCACTCCTTTTCCCCTAAAGCAATCCCAATTAATTTTACTTGAAAGGAGTGAAGGGTGTATCTGTAAGTGCACTTGTCTCCTGCACATGAAATGGAAAATGGGTTCTATAAGAAAAAATAGGTTTACAGAAACCCATAATACCATTTAGAAGAAAAGCTGTGGTAGTGGTACTCCAATAACTGGGGTAAACATTGCTCCTGCAAATTCTATTTTGGAGCACGAGTAGGATGAATCATAGACAGAACAGCGACCAATTTGGGATTTTTTGAAAGCACTTGCCTCTGTGCCTGCAACTCAGTCTTACTTACAGGTTTTTGTACTAACCCCTGAGGCTCTGACAGCCTGAGAAATAGTGCCAGGGCACCCTTCATAGGCTAATATTTCTCAACCCCTCCAAGTCACCAGGCAGATTAGCTCATTTAGTTATTAATGGCATAGTAAAAAGGAGCCCAGGCTGAATGCATGCACCGGACAGACTGCACCATCTCACCAAGAAGACCGAGTTTCCACAAAGGACCAGGGCAAACATTTTGCCAGTGTCTTCAGAGCATGGGGTTAGAATGAGTTTCCCTTTTTAATGATGCACTGCAGTGCCCTACAGTGCTGCCCCAGGGGGGAGAGGAGTGAATCCCTCTGTGCACTAGCAGGAGAACTCACAAACCAACAGATTCTGCAGAAAGAAGCTGAAATTGGAAGTTGCAAAGGGACCATGACTAAGACTTTATGGTCACACCTCAGCAGACATTTCGTAATCACCATCGGCTTCATTTGGGGACAGCTGACTTTGAGAGTTACAGTGTGTGGCTCCAAAGTAAAGCAAGTGATGTCAGCAGATCACAGACATTAGTCTTAATCGTACTTTATGGGCACACCTCATGGCTTGGGAAAAGCAGACACATTGGTTTAGTTATGTAAAGAGCCAAGTGACTATGAGCAGGCTTACTGCATTATTTAATAAAGTCCATCACTTTACAATTAAATCCTGTGTCTTTCAGAAAATAGTATTTGTATAGAGATATCGAAGGTACAAACTCAAGAGACATTAGGTGTACGGATTGTATAATCCTATAAAATTAAAGTTTTTTTGATAAAAGATGACAACAATAAGGAGTTAAATCTCAGTTTTAGTTAATTATTGGTACATTAGTAGGGCCTAAGCTAATAAATTCATTCATTTTTTAGTTTATCTTTGTTCTAATTGGTTTACCTTAAAAATTTTGATGTATCTTTCCTTATTTCATTTATATCATTAAATTATTTAGTTTATTTTTAATATTTAAATATAACCTGTGTATATATACAAATAACAGTATTTCAATAGTGTCTGAAATTAACAAAGGCGCTAACAGGGTTTGGGGGTACCAGTAAATTGGCTGTTTGGCTGACTGACATTTATTTTATTCCCCATGATTTCCTTAAGCTCTTGCTTTCTCTGTTCTCCACAGTCTCTGTTCTATTCTTTGACCGATAATGTAGGCATCTCAAGAGAAATGTCAATATAAACAGTCTGCTGTCAGACTGCAGAAGGCTGAGGTAGGCAGAGGAGAAGCCTCGATGAGAAGCTAAGAGGGGAGTGGTCATCTCTGGGATTACAAATCCTGGCTCAGGTTTGCACTGCTGTGGTCATTGCTGCACATCAGAATCACCCGAAGAGCTGTACTATTCTCGAATCCCTGACCACAGGCCAGAACCATTTAGTCCGAATGACCTGGGCTGCCTGGAGAGTTCCAGTGTATTAACTTACACTTGAGGATCCAACCTTACTGAGGGCCTAGGTGACTCAGGGGACCTGAGCTCCCTCAGAGACTCCATGTCTCAACCTCACAGGGAGAATGGTTTGATTCTAAATCCTTATCTCATCAGAGAAGAGGTAGGAGGGGACAAATCAAGGGCTCTGAAAAGCTGTCCTGCTTCAGGTTCCGGGTGATGTAGAAACCACTGGATGGTGGACAGAGGACTTGTTGAAGACCCCCCACCACTACATTGTTGTACCCCCAAACAGGGACACCTCGGGTAGAAGCATGGAGTAGGGGCTTCATAGGGAGTGTGGGGCGCACTTCTAGACGAACCAGGCTCATGCAGGCATGCATCCTTCCATTATGATGGAAGCTGGTTTGTTGGGACCTGTAGGAAAAACCTTCCTTCCTTCCTTTCTTTCTTCCAGAGAAATACAATTTCTTATGGAGTTTAGTTTGTGTTTCTGCTTTTGTTTTTATTATAGTTGGTACGAGTGTAGTAACTGCAGTTAATTTACCTTGCGACTTGAGCAAGGAATTGTTTTTACAAAATATAATTCTTCTCGATTTGATTTCTCCAGAAAAAAGTAGGGCCTTCCCCCAAGACCTACAGAGCTCTAGGAAGGTAGACATGGATAGGAAGAGAAGAGACACGGATGGAGACTGAGTTAATGGGAAGGTCACCCGTGACAAGGTGGCAAGGTAGCCGGGGCCAGGGCACAGGTACAGAAAGCAGTAATGAAACGGCCCAATCATGAACACAACAGAGATAGTTTTGAATGTAAAAGTAGAGGTGAAAAATTCAGTTTATCAAGTGTGCATCTCCAAACCCACAATTGGATCATAGTTTGCATTTCTACCTCTTGCTGAACTGAAAAGGAAACTGGTTACTAGCGTAGAGCAAAGCTGGTTTGCTGTATGGCATCAGGAACCGGGATGTTTTTGTTAATAAATAACTCCAGTGAGCCAAATTCTGCATAAACCAGCTTGTGCAGGTCTGGCTCTTAGTGGGTTACAGACCTCCGTTGGTTGAAGCCCTTGTTTTATTGCTGGTTTTATTTAGCAAACTCTTGGTCTTCTGATTCTGAGTCAGCATTAAAAAATTAATCTTATTGTGTTCTTTTCAGTACCAAAGCCCACTCGCAATAGGCGCTGAGAAAGAGTTGTAGAAGATGATTTAAATGGTTTGGAAGGTGGGAAATTTATGTGTATTCGCTGGCCTATCTGGAGAAAGGTCAGGATGATTCCCTGGCTGGTGTCAGGGAAAGAAATGGTTCTCTGGCAAATAGGGGCCCTTATTTCTTAGTATTTGTACATATTAGCATTGTATGTTGGGGGAAAAAAAAACCCACTCTATTTTATTCAGACAACTGGAAGCATGTATTTTACCTTCATTGTTTCGAGGCACAAACCAGAAAATGTCACAAGGTGGGTTCTACCCCTTACGAATGTTTTTCTCTCCCTTCCACACATCAGCTAAAACAAGCTGAGAAGCCACAGCTCTCGTAGAGATGGAAAAAAATCAGCACTGCCTCAACTCATTCTCTTTTCCTCATTTATTCGAGCAGGGTACGCTTTTTTCTCTCTTGCCTGATTCAATTCATATATTAATTATATTTTCCTCGCAGTGGATCATGTCACAACACTGTGAATAAAGCAGTCTTCAAAAGCAAATGCTATGTTATTCACTTGCTCCCACTTGAAAAACATGCTTTTATTCATTATGGCATCCCAGGCTGCTGTGTACCTGTGCGAAGTGCAAAGTATGTCCCACACACATTCCTCTCTTCAGCTTTCCCAGAGATACCCCTCATCTTGTCATTTCCTAGAGTTGGGGTGAAGCACTTTTTCTTCAAAAGGAGACCTGCTCTCACAATTTTTAAAATATGCACTAAAGTTACTGACTACTCCAGAACAACAGATACCCAAAGCATTCAGAGGGATGTTAATTTTAAACTAATCTTTAATTACTTAATGAGCTCCTAGGAAATTATTCTGTCTCCAAAGGCCAAAGAACTGGGAAAAAAAAAAATTGAGGTGTGTGAGGTGTGAGGCATAGAGCAATGTTATCCTTCTTTGTCTTTTTACATATACATAGAATGTTTATGAACCATATTCTCCTTTGAGAATAATTACCACTTGATTATGCTGTCTTAGCTTTAGTGACAATACTGCTGATGAAAATAGCTGGTGTTTACTGAACAGTTTGTATATGCCAGACATTTTAGTAACAACTTTACACAGACCATCTTATTTTATTCTTAAAACACACCTGTTACTTCATCCTCATTTTTCAGAGATCAGGTGGCTAACTCAGAGGATTCTAACCCAGGCTGTCTGGCTTTGGAGCCAGCAGGCCTAACCATCACTCAAGCTTCCTGTTTGAGGGATGTTACTTTAAGTTGTAATAGTCATTAAGAAATAGTATACGCAATTAAAATACAATACGAGGCACGCTTTTGATCACAAGCTTATCTGTTGATAGAGATCCAGGTTAGGTTGGGGCTGTTAATAGAAATCTATGACCTTGAAGAATTACGTACGCGGCAGAAAGCTAAAGGTAGGTTTAAAGCACTCACAGGAGAAATGCTTTGCAATGTGGACATTTTGCCGACAAAAAATATGTTTAGTCTGCTAGAAAATAATTATGGGTCACCTTTAAAGAGTCTAAAACACACAGACATCAGATTATATCTGTCACAAGCTGTCAGAAATGTTTTCTGTCAACCTACAGTTGTCTAGGGATTGTTTCAAACCCACGTAATCTTACAGAGTGCTCATGTTTACATTCGGGTGTTTGAGACAGCGGCTATATGCAGGAAGATACACACTGTCTCGCAGCTTCCCTTGGTCCACGTGAGAGGTGGCTGCAGGGGGTGAAGGTCCGGAATACTTCACCCTCTTGACACGGATTCCGTGCAGCCATTTTCACATAAAAGCAATTGCCTAAGTGCTGTATTGCACTGATGACTTCCAAAACTTTTGGAGCTCCTTCTGCTCCTTCCCACTTGAGCCACTTAGGAGAAAAAAAAAAAAAAAAAACAACCAAACCAAGCAACCCCAGAAGAGTACAGGCTTCCAGGACTTCAAAATTAATAAGCAAAGAAGTACTTAAGATGGCATAAGTGTGGGGGAAAGAAAACAAGGACATTCCTATGAGAAGATGAAAGTCAAACCCTGGGGCGCCTGGGTGGCTCAGTTGGTTAAGCGACTGCCTTCGGCTCAGGTCATGATCCTGGAGTCCCGGGATCGAGTCCCGCATCGGGCT